CAAGAGCAAACATTTGAAAATACAAATGAACCACTTGTTGCTGAATACATCAACAGTATTGTGAGTGATATTTTACATTATTGTTATAAAACCAAATCTGCAGCACAAAAAAAGTTATGCGCTTGTTGCAGTCCAAAGCAGTAAAAGGAAGAAGTCTGGAATTTAAAAATGAGAATGAGTGTTTAGAAGGGGCAACCAATTACATCTTTGTTGATCGTTTTAACATATTACAAACTGGAATGGATGAATTGCTGGATAAGAAGACATATTTCGTATTTTAGAACTGAAATTTTATGGAGAATTAATGCCAAAATTTTCGTAATGCTACAGTTGCTTGGTGCAGTTAGTTGATATTGTGGTGCTTTATTAGTTTTACTTCCTTTTTATATACTTTAAATTCTAGCTGGCACATCATCGAAGAGGTCCAAGAAAAGAATATTTCCGTTTGATTTTGTTAGAAATCAAAGAAAAGACTTAGATAAATGCTTGCGTCACCTTTTGGCTGACGAGTACATCTGCGTGGGAATATTAACGGTGAGAATTTAAGTTTATAAAACTGTTTGTATTATAACATGGTTAGATATCCAATTATGTTAATGGAGCTGTGAAGGGTATTTCATCTGCATTGCTACAATTGGTGAGCTTTGACCAACCCTGATAGACAGTGCAAATTAGTTTTTCTTTGTTTTTCACTAAGCAACACAGGAATGTTGTTGATGCACAAGCTTGGGAGTTGTCACAAACGTCTCCGAGGTTTGCATAAGACAGTGCAAACACGAAAACATCTTTTATTTCTTTCATAAAATGATAATAATGCAAATATAAAGTAAGCGTTTTAATTTTTTCTATAAAATGTATTCATAATCGATTTGCAAAATTCTCTTTTACTGATTGATTGTTACGATTGATTTGATTGGTTGAGCTTGGATGTGTTTTGCACAGGCTAATGCAAACACAGCTCTAGACCAATCAGCGCACGCATTCAATTTCGTTTATTTTTACTATGCCATTATTTTATTAATGACTTTATATGGAATTAGTTCAACTCCATCTTGTATAAGTATTATGGAAATTTCTTTGATGCCTGCTTTTTAACTTTTAACAAATTTTTTCACACCTGGTTATTTTCAAGATTATCATGACGAAAAACTTCTGTGTGCCTTTCAATGATCTGTACTGTTGAATCATATAGTTCAATTCAAAAGTTGTAATGATTCATTTTCAGCGATGATAATTCAGTAAGACAAAATTCACTCAGGTGAAGATTTGGTGGATTAAAGATGGGTCTGCCTTCGTGTTTTTCAGTAATTTCATCATTAATATGACCTTCCTCACCATACTCTCCCAAGTCTTCACTTGAGATATCAATTCCAATGGGATTCTGCATTTGTCCAGCAATCCATAACCTGAGAGGGCTGGTCTGGTTGATCTCATTTTATGATTTGACCAAGCCTTCTGTCACATATTAAGTTTATTGTTGATCTCATGCATGTATGTATGATGAAGAGCAACAATACGAATATCATGTTTGTAAATGTAGATCGTCCAGGTTGGTATAGTCCTGAGAAGGACAGTTTTTATTGTTGTTGACTGACATTTCGACTACCTTAGCGGTAGTCATCTTCAGAGTCAAATGAGGAGTAAACGTCAGGTTAGCCGTATTTGTTATCTGGTTCTTACGTCATTGTATTGTGTGTACAGGAAATGTGTATTGTCATTGTGAATTAGTGTGAAGTGAAATATTTTTATTTTTAGTTGTGATGTGTGATTTAGGTGTGATGTTTTTGGTTGTAATGTGTGGGTGTCAATTGTGTATTGTCATTGTGAATTAGTTCGAAGTGTAATGTTTTTAGTTGATCATTTGTTTGTATTGTGAATAAGTCGTTTGTAAGGTGCCGGTAATTGCTGTGATCTGTTCAGGGGGGATTTGTTCCAAGTTGGTATACCAACTTTCCAATGTAAGCCAATGTCTATAGTCAGTACTGTAAGTAATGCATTTTGCAGAATCCCAGTCACCTTGTCGTTCGTTGGGTTGTTCTTTGTTCTTTAAGTTTGTTAGTACTTGTAACGTTGTGAGTGGTTTATGTGCGACACGTATGTTGTATGGTCATAAGATACGTGAGATAGTCTCAGACGTACCTTTGATGTAAGGTATCGTTGCTGTTGTCACTGAGTTGTTCGTTTCGTTGGGTTCGTTGGGTTTGTAAGTGTTGCGTTTGATAAAGTCAGAGTTATAGTTGTTTTTGTCAAAAACATGTTTGAGATACTTGTTTTCATTGTGTAGAGCGTCCGTTGAATCACATATGATTTGTGCACGTCTTGTTAATGATCTGATTGTGGTGGCTTTGGGTGATATAGGGTTGTAAGATGATTGGTCTAGTAGTCGGTCAGTATGTGTTGGCTTGCGATAAAATATTGTTCCTAGTCTTTTATTGTCATGTTTTACCAAACAGTCGAGAAAAGGAAGAGTTACAATTTCAGCAACTACAACAGAAACGGGCGAGCCCATTGCTGTCCCATGCAATTGTTTGTAGTGTGTTACTTTGTATTGCAAGTAAGTCGAGGTGAGGCAGAGCTCCAGTAACTCTATAATGTCTTCTGTCGGTAATGGCAGTACGTCCGTAGTGTTTGTATTGAGGGTTTTTGTACAAGTTTGTAAATGTAGATCGTCCAGGTTTTTGTACAAGTAAGTGCTAGATTTAGTGGAATACTGGTGAACAGTGATTTCACATCAAAAGACACTAGTATATAGTTGTCCAGTATTTGTATAGTGCTCAATTTTTTAATGAAATTTTCAGTGGATTATAGCTTGCGTTTTGATTTGCTTGTAAGTGGTTGTAGTATGTCAGTCAAGTACTTTGAGAGTTCGTAAGTAGGCGAACCACAGAATGATACAATTGGTCGCATAGATATTTGTGGTTTGAGAAGTTTTTGTAGTCCGTATACTCTGGGTGGTCGTGGTACTGAACATCTAAGTCGATAGTGAATACGTTCGGATATAATGTTAGATTTTCTCATAGAGAAGATCTTGCTGTTAAGTTTGCGTACTAGTGATGGTAAAGCGAGCAGAGCATCTGATCCTCTTGGTCTAGTTCACAGTGACGTTTGTGGGAAATTAAATGTAAAATCCTATGGTGGTGCAGAATATTTCTTGACGTTTACTGATGATAAAACTCGATATGTTTGGATTTATCCTTTGAAACAGAAAAGTGAAGTATTCAGCAAGTTACAGGATAGGAAAGCTCCTGTCGAAAAAGCAAGTTGGTTTAAACTTAAAACATTAAGAAGCGACAACGGCGGTGAATTCACGTCGAATGAATTCAAGAACTTCCTAAAATCAGAAGGAATCAAGCAAGAGCTCACCACACCAAAAACATCTGAGCAAAAGCGTGTAGCTGAACGTCTTAACCGAACGCTGATGGAGTCTGCTCGTACCATGTTGATACAAGCAAAGCCGGCACAAAGATTTTTGGTTGAAGCACTTACTACAGCCGTGTATCTACATAATAGAAGCCCCGCGAAAAGTCTATTGAAGATGACACTATTTGAAGCTTGGTCAGTTGTGAAACCAGACGTCAGTCATTTAAGAACATTTGGTTGTGTTGCCCATGCTCATGTACCGAAGGACGAGAGAAGAAAGCTGGATTCAAAAGCTAAGAAGTGTGTTATGCTGGGGTATGGTGAAGAAACTAAAGGTTATCGTTTGTTTGATCCAGATTGTTCTAGAGTCGGGACGTCAAATTTAATGAAAAGCAGTATGGATTTGAGAAGGAGCCTAAAACAAACAAGAGTACACCTCGACGTGTGATCTTACAGCTTTCTAATGATGACGAGAACAATCACCATGGTGAAAACAACGTAGTTAATGACGCACCACTGGTTCTTCTTGTAAGACAACGACGCCCACTGGATCGTTACGGAGAATGGGTTACTATTGCCGACGAAAATAATACAAAACCGAAAATTTTTGGTGATGCACTTGCTGACCAAAAAGGCGATAAATGGAAAAGGGCTATGCAGGAAGAGATTGACTCGCTCAATGAATATAATGTGTGGGAACTGTCACAACTACCTGAAGGACTTAAGGCAGTTGGATGCAAATTGGTCTACAAGATTAAACGCAATTCAAATAGCGATGCTGAAAGATTCAAAGCTCGATTGTTGGCGCAAGCTGTGTAGCATTGTTGACTGCAGAAGCTGAATATATATCGTTTGGATCTGCTGTTCAAGAAGCAAATTGGATTCGTCAATTACTTAAAGATCTCAATGTTGATATGAAAGATCCTTTGAAAATCTACGGAGATAATCAATCAGCTATCTCCATGGGGAAGTATCCTCAACTTCATGGAAGATCAAAACTTATTCGAATAAAGTATCATTTTCTTCGAGACCATATAGAAAAGAAATCCGTGAACATTCAATATTGTGCTTCAAACGAGATGTTAGCAGATTTGTTGACAAAAGGAATAAGTAAGGAACAGTATGAAAAAAAACGACAAAAGATTGGAGTCGTATCAGAAGAACAATTAGATATTTAACTGCAAATGAGAAGGAGTGTTGGTATTTATTTAAAGTAGCATTCTTATTAAATATATTAGCCGCTGACCATGTACCATATGTGGTGATATGAACAAAACGGGCGTTGTACGTATTTCTAGTGAGTTTGATTTTGTTGAGCTATCTTATGTAATACTCGTATTTTCTTAAATAAAATAAATCGTTCTGAACTATTCGCGATCCATCGACTTATTCGACATTTCTGACACAATTAACATTGTTGCAATTTCGTTATCAAGAAATCTTCTTCTAAAAAACTCTCCAATAGCTCTTTCGGTATTTCAAACATAGTTTGGGTAGTCTTATTTGGGCTTCTTTTTTATGGCTGTGCATTTCCATACTTCGTGCACTCGATTCTCAAAGACATTATTTCACTGGAATTAGACAAGCCGAATTGCCTATAATCTTGCAATGAAAGTCTGGAATCTAACATCTGGAGTAACGCGTTCTTCTATAAAACGTTGACTGTGAGAGCTAAATCCAAGCTTTCCCAAAACTTTTTGCATGTCACTGGTTGACACCATTTTTATTCCTGTTCCGTATTGGTGTTGTATCATGTGTTTAATTATAATTTCCCTTTGTCAGCAAATTATAACCACATAACGAAATAACCACATAACGAAATAACCACATACCGATATAACCACATACCGAAATAACCATATAACGAAATAACTACATAACGAAATAACCACATGACGAAATAACCAAATAACAAAATCATGGACTCCGCAAACACCTCATTCTCCCTTAAAATCAAAGAAGCACTCAAAATTAACAAAATTAACCCTGACCTCAATGTTCAAGTTTTTAAATTCAACACAATCTTTAGTTTGTAACACGTCCTCCGTTAATTTATCTCATTTCCTTATTATTTTTATAATTAATCATATTACTTTTACATAAAAAAAATTGATTGAAAACGTATTTTATTATGATCATTATTATCTATTACAAATATAAATGTTAAAAAAGTAAATCAAATATGACTAAAATCAGTGTTTAAAAATATCCATGATAAAGGGACAGTCAAATGTAAAGACAACTTTCCCAATAACCTAGGTCAATATTTAAAGTATGTTCACGAGTTGAGGCAGATCGACTTCCTCGTATCGCAGTAATTGCTGACCTAATCAGTGCGAAAGACAGTATACAACGCATCCACGCTAGCGTGATGTCATATTGCAGCTTTCTCTTTTGTGCCAGCAGATCAGCTAGCCGTTTATAAGCAATTGCCGTCTCTTTCCCCATACCACCTGATGTTGAAAAGACCAATGGTGTAAAAGCAGCATATTCAATCTCTCTTACTCGATCACCATATTCCCTTTTCTTAGCCATCTCATGCTGACGATAGAATGCAGGTAGATTGGTGTTTTGGTAGCTCGACGCGTTTGGGTGAAATACCCTTACATCAAAAAATGCATCTTGCTGTCTAGACCAAAAATCTTTAGCACGAATATCTAGTCTCGCTTCTTCTTGTCTATTGGCTGTACGAGGTAATATCACTTCCCAGAAAGAGGTTGTAATTGTAGCTCTTTCGCAACTGTCGAGCAAACTTCTGCCATCCACTGTGCTGTTATATCTCGAACTTCATTATGTCTCACTATTGGTAAACCACCATGAGGACATATCATCGCGTGATCGGTTGCAAAAGCCTTTCCACAAATGCAGTGCAGAGGGGTATTTTTCAATTGCCATCCATAACGTAAATTTAATGCATCTCGAAATTCCCCTTTGTTCAAATTAAAGCCTTGATCTTGTAATTGAAATACACTTAACCATGATGACGATCCTTTTTCCCTCAGTATATCTAGCTTCCTTTGCATTGTTGGCGTAGAACTATCTCTTATTTCCTAGATCATATCATCCACTTTCTTCTTCTTTTCTCTCGTAAAGTCATTTTGATTGACTGTAACTGAGGTTTATGAAGTATCTCTTTCTGTTGAACAATCATCTCTTTCAAGCATTGGCTGATCTTTTTGGAAGCAAGATATTCTTCATTTGCACTTTTAACTGGGTTGATAATATTTTGACCACCAAATCGTATAGGAAGTGAAAGGAGTGTTCTTCATCTGGATTGCATTGGTTTCTTCCAGTGAGTGATGGTATAAATGTCTGCGAAATTGCATCTTCCAGAGGTTGAAATAACTCACTGATGTTCTCAACTGTTCGCATTATATAGCGCCACTTTCCCATTATACAATGAGAAAATGCCGCAAACGCTGATTGGGGATAACGTTCTGCAATCTTTGAAAGACTTTCAATTTCTTCCACAAATACCCTAATCTTTCTTGCCTTATATTCATGGACGAAAAAATTGAAGCCAATTGCTGATCCCAACATTCCATGGCCTTCAGTTGTTATATTAATCAGGGTTGCCAGATTGGCCTTTTGGAGGCCAAATAACTCAAATTTGGCTTCTTTTTTCCTTGCTTGGCCTCAAAAAATAAATTTGGCTATTTGGCTTCTTTTTGGCTTCTTTTTGCTTCCCACAGATTTTTCATGTCATTACTACTAAGTTTCACAGTTCGTTCACAAAAGATAAACGAAATGGTTCTATTCTGTCACTACTTCCCAGGCTCTTTGCTCCGGTCATAGGCTCATAACATCAATATATTTTGAACATGGCAGCCAAATGGAAAGTCTCATATGAATCTGGATGAAAATATACCAAAACGTGGGAGAGCAAATTTATCTGGCTTTCGAAAGCATCAGATGGAAGTGAAGATGGGTATTGTAAGCTTTGCCATACTCAAATAAAGCCCAAACTATCAAATTTGACAAAGCACGAAAAGAGTGATAAGCACGTGCAACGGGTGAAAGCTTCAACGTTAGTAAGGCCAATTCAAGTTGTGCGAAACCCAACGATCGCCGACGAAGTAAAACGTACAGAAATTGAGCTAGCTGTGACAATGGCGTGTCATTCTTCTATTCTAACCATGGATCATCTGGGGGAGATTATAGCTCGAAATGCAACGGGAAGTAGACTCGAAAACATAAAGATACATCGTACGAAATGCACAAAAATTCTTACCAATGTAGTCAGTCTTGCGCTGAAAGAAGAATTAATTGCTGATGTAAAAGGAAAGAAGTTCTCTTTAATCGTCGATGAGACTACCGATGTTTCTACAGCCAAACAGCTTTGTGTCATCATTCGGTATTACAGCAGTGTGGAGAAGAATATCGTCACAGCCTTTGTGGACCTGGTCAATGTTGCTCGTGCTTGTGCAGATGACCTTTTTCATGCCATCCGAAATTGCCTTCGTGAAATTGACTTTGAATTGATTGACTGCTTTGGGTATGCTAGTGATGGTGCTTCTGTTATGGTCGGCAAACATGACTCAGTGTTGACAAGGCTTGAAGCTGTTCCCTGAATTGCATCAAATTGACGTGTATCTGCCATTCGTTGTCGTTATGCGTCCAACATGCTTTTGAAAAGCTTTCATACAGCCTTGGGTTCCTTCTAGCAGAAATTCCAAAGTGGTTTTTCTAAAGCCTATACGACGCGAAGCATACAAGTTACTTATGAAACAATGAGTCCCGATGACGACCAATTACCACCATTTGAGAAGTATTCAGCAACACTTTGGTTGGTGAGAGGAAAGTTGATCTTCCTTCTTTTGGCTAATTGGAACGAGCTCCAAGCTTATTTTGCTGTAGCGAAACCAGCAAGTACACAGAATGCCCGTAATACACAAAATATGTCTCTTCTCAAAAGAACAAGGTTGTTGCTCAAGCTAAAGTTCTTGATTTGAAAAAACGGTGCTCAGATTTTCTTATCGAAGCTTTAAATCAAGTTGAAATACGTCTACCTGCCACAAAAACATATTCAAAGGATTAAGCGTCCTTCATCCAAGAAAAGTATTAGATGAAGCAACCAGAGATCTTTTATGTCAGCTGCCACTTCCACATCTACGATATGAAAACTCAACGAGATCGAAGAGCAGTACCGGAAGATCGTTCACCGTGACTGAAAAGAAGATTCAACCTTTGATGGAACTATTCCAGATACAGCGGCTGCATTTTGGTCATGCATCGTCGACTTTCAAACTTCACTCAGAGACAAGCCATTTGAGCAGTTAGAAACATATGCTTTGAACTGTCTCACTGCTCCCGTAAGCAATGCTGTGGTGGAGAGGACATTTTCCCTGTTGGCATCAATCAAGACTAAACAGCGCAACGGAATGAAACAAGAGTTGATGAAAGCCATAATTCGCATTCGCTTAAAGCTTCAGTTTGAAGAAAATTGCTGCGTGGACTTCAAGACAACCAGGCGAATGCTCGAGCTGTTTACCGCCAAACATATGTACGATGCTCGAAAGGAAACAAATTGATAGTTCACTCGAATGTAGGACATTTGAAAGTGAAATTCAAAAGTTTATATTGACCCCAGTATTGGTTGTTTTCATCTAACGTTGTTTACCTGTTTCATTCAACAGATGTCAACAGTATCAGTGTATATAGTTATTGTCAGTCATAACTTTATATTTGTATGTCATTATTATTTAATTTACTTCCTATTACGAGCCTCATTCATGATTCCTGATTGACCAAACTCTTGTTTGATGATTTTTGTTAAGCTTACAGGGAGGGGGGGGGGCACAAATCCTGCGTTGCTGGTTGTTCTAGAAATTTGGCCTCTTTTGCTGAAATTTGGCCTCATTTTCTACCGTGTTTGGCCTCGAGCATGCGCAGGAACCTGGCAACCCTGATATTAATTTCTGTTCCTCCAAAATGGTTTATCGCTTCTTCCAAGTGCTGTGACTTAACAACAAGATACGTTTTACTTCCCTTTGGAAAATAACCCATCATTGGCCCAATGTCCGATATGTTTTCTCACCATCTTCTTAAAGACTTTATTTTCCCACCACATGTAGCATCATCAGCAAACCACACTTGCTTGACAGTTGGTTCTTCTGATCTAAGCCTACGAATCAAAGGTGTAACTGCAAGTGCATACATTGCCACTGCGAGCGGATCCCCTTGTGTAATCCCTTTTGCTGACTGAATTTCTCCTCCTCCAGTAACAAACAGCCTAACTGGCACTTGATAGGTATTATTTAGTACAGTTGATATTAAGGGACAAATTATTGCAATGTTATGTAGTGCTGCTTGCCGATTGATAGTGTTAAAAGCATTGGTAGCATCTACTAGTAGTACAGCTTGTGTTTCATCTGATGACATGATCTCATTCATTGCATGGATTGCCGCTTCACAACCTGCTTCATGACGTGCACATGCTTGTAAAGGCCCTGCTGCTTCCTGGACATCTTTCCCAACCACTTTAAGAATCGCCTTTGCTACAATCCGCCGTGGAACTTCACCAACACCTATCGGAGGTATTCCAGGATTCTTATCTAGCGGTATTAACCGACACGCTACAAAAGCTGACAAACCATCGGGACTGACAGATGAAGCACATAGACGACGGGCAGCCCCTACAAGTGCATTACACAGGTCAATTGATGCCTCCTTACTTTTACATAAACCTTTTATTATTTATGTAATTATTCACTTATACTGAAGATGGCATCATGAGATCTCGAAACATGTCTATTTTCAAAATTTTTGTGGTCTATATTAAATGCGCATTAGTGATAGTGCTTCTACCAAATTACCAAACCAAAACCTCCTTTCCAGCGAAAACCTCCTTTGCAGCCAAAACCTACTTTGCTTTTTCAAGGTATTTGAAAAACAGAAAAGATCTCTTGGTGGATTACGTGCACCATCACCTTGTTCATCGGAGTACATCAATAAACTTGAAAATTTTTATATGAACAATTCTCTATCTACAATGTGTGTCCTGGTGCTGGAGCCGAAATTTTAAAGAAGGTCAAGCCATTTCTGTTTCCTTCTAATCTAATACAGACTTTGCTCTTGAGTATTTGCAGAAGCTGTTCATAAGATGTTCATAAGAATAAGAGTATATTATAGCATAATATTTGTCAATGGAGATTTTGCCACAAGTAAATCAAACGACAAAAAGTAAATTATATTTCTCATCTTTAAAGTAAGTAACTCCGTGGTACAGAAGGTTAGAGCTCGATGACACAAATTATAAGTCGTCATTCGTGTAGAGAAGAATATACAGTAATAGAAGAAAAATAAGGCAAATGATTTCGTTAGGTTGTAATACCCGAGAGACATGACTGAAGAAAATGATTAATCTAATTAGGCTGTCTCTGCAAGGCATAAAATGTAATATGAGAGTTATATTTGACCACAAAATAATCAAATTAGCAGTATTTAACTTTTTTTGATGTTCTGACAATTATTGAAACGCAGATTTCGAAAATAAACATCCCAAACGTGCGAATTACTTGTCTGGAACAATACATTATCATACAAATTTCCTTAACCAGTAAAGGCAGTAATTGCCAGAGTGATGGCAGCCGTCATATTAGAAGAATATCATGGTGTCTTTGCTAAACATGGTTAAGATATGATAGCATGGGACTTTCTGCAAAGTTCTTCAGATAAATCATTCTCTGTTGCACAAATGGACTCTCTATTCACTAGGTAGTCACTTAGATGATTATGAAATGTTAATATTTACTAAACAATTGAGTGCAACAGAAACAATACAACCAGATTTATTTATCATTTCAGCTGTTATCACCATAACAAAATTTTGTAAATAATTAGCATGCAGCTATTACCCGTGAATAAGAGAAGACTGGCATAAAATGTGCAAGAGATCAGAGAAACCAGGAATTGAGCTCTTCTTTCGTTCTTTGACATTACAATATTCCCAATACATTCTTTTTTGAATACATGAAGTTTTTTTTGTGAATTAGTAAGGTCTTGCCAAAAATAATCGAATTTCAACACAATAATGTTAAAATCAGCGCAGGCGCTAGAACATAAAAGCCCCTTGTATTTGTCTGAAATTCACATGCAAAGAGCACGTGCAATAGATAATTAAATTCGCAGAAATATTGAACTTGTGACCTTAATGTTTAAACAATATAGGCACAACTTGTGATAAACGTAAATATTCTGTGGTACTGGTGAAGCAAAAATAGTCAGCGAAATTTAAAAATCAAATAATGTCTGAAGAAATTGTTCTCATCACTGGAACATCATCCGGTATCGGATTGTCGACGGCTGCATTGCTCGCAAAGCAAACAAATAATAAATTTAAAGTGTACGCATCAATGATGGATACAGACGAAAAGAATCAATTGTTGGAGAAAACTGCTGGTTGTAGCAATGTTGTTGTTATAGAACTAGATGTTCGTTCGGAAGAGTCTGTTAACGATGCTATAAATCAAATTTTGGGAAACGAAGGACGCATTGATGTTATTGGTAAGATTTCTTACATACATAAATATTCTGCTGCCTATGTAATTTTGATATTGAGCGATGTTGTACACACGCACGATTGTTCAAATGATTTAATTTTGTTAAAAATTCCCTATTCTGCAGCGGATAAAGAGAGTACCATTGTCAAAATTCATAATCATACTTGCATGGATTTGCATCTACAACAATTCATGTCAGTCATAGATAGTGAAATAAGATCGTTGTTCCTCTCACTGACTTCTTAATTAAGTCAGGCGAGGGACAATACTTCTAATCTTACTTGAAGCCACAGTAAATTTGTGATTGATAAAAACAGGTTATTGATATACAACAAAGAACGACAATAACAGTTCTGCATTGCACTATAAGGAACAAAGAGCAGAGCCAGAGGTGTAACTAGAACGTTAATTAAGGGGTGTATATTCATATATTCACTTGTGTCCTACTGATTTCTTTAGAAATTCTATTCACTTTCAAAAGAAGGCAGTAAGGCAAAACGGAATATGCACCCCCCCCTCTCTCCAATTAACGTTCTAGTTACGCCTATAAGCAGAGAAGAGCCATTTCGTTTCATTTTTCTTTGCCACTGCCATGCATGGATTACTTGGTAGTTAAAACAAATGATTTGATAGTTCAATAAATAATCATTTTTGCAAACTAGTTCTTTCAAATGAACCAATTTGTAGATCGCTACTTGCAAAGAATTAATGCCCGACTTTATTACTACACTCCCTTCCCATATATTTCTTTGGTTATTAAATTTGTATATATTTGAAAGTGAATATGTCCTTATTTATTTTGGCAACCCACTCCGAGTCCGTGATTTTGCCTGGGGTCATTGAGTTCAATGAGTTGCCTTGCAATTTAGCCACGATAGGGTGGACGCACAGACACATATTTCTGTAATAATTATGATATTTCATTGCCATACTTTTTAATGAACAATGCTGGTGTTCAATTGGCGATTCCTATTGAATGTCTTTCTTTGGAAAGCATTGAAAACATGTATAATACAAACGTCTTTGGAGTACTGCGCATGATTCGAGGTGTTCTCCCGTCAATGAAGAAACATAGAAAAGGTCGAATTGTCAACATCAGCTCAATTACTGGATTAAGTGCTTTTCCTTTCAACACTGTGTATTGTTCAACAAAGTATGCTATGGAAGGAATAACGGAATCTCTGGCGCCTGAGCTTGCATCATTCAATATTCAGTAAGTAGCTATGAGATTAACTTTTTGGCTGTGCATGCATGTATTGATAAAGTGGTGTTAAAAAAGAATTTACTCTTTTTATATCTGTCATACAAGAAATTAAAATTTTTGTAAAATTTTATACGCGGCTTCTTTTTTTCCTTACCGTAAATTTGCAGTTTTTTAACAAATGCGAAGATATAGAAACTGTGTTTACAACTGATATGGTGTGCAGATCTCTCGTTTTCAATGGCAACTGCTTGAAGAATATTTAGCCGGCACTACTTTAGAGCGAAATAGAAAAACAACGTGCATCATTATTTAAAGTTTCGACTATATTTAAGATTCGGTGGCTACTTTTATTATCTTAGAGATACAATCTCAGTCCCCACGAACAAACTCGTTTAACAAATAAAAGATTTTGTGTGTGTTTTGCAATCTTATACAAACTGAGAAGCAGGTCATTGCAAGCCCCCGGCCAGACAAAGTTCGAGGTGTGCACCCGATTGAGAGTTTTCGCAATGGTATCCGAGGTTTGCAAAACATGGAAAAATATCCTTTATTACTTATTTTTAAATAAAAATGATGTAAAACAGACAAATTTAACACAAACGATTTAATTTTTCCTCTTATATGTATTTATGATTAATTTGCAAATTCTCTTTTATTGATTGATTGATTGATGATTGATTAATTACCTTAACTGGTTGAGCTCAGATTAGAATGCACTGGCTAATGCAAACACGGCTGTATAGATTAATCAGGGCAATAGATTATTTTGTAAACTAAACTGTTCGAAATACTCGTGACTATTTTACATATGAGCTACAAAAAAAGAACAGGTTTCTGTTCAATGACAGGAAAATCCTTTTAGATATGGTTATTTGCGCCAGCAACAATGACCAAATGCAAAATAGTATTAAAGAATGTGTGTCAACCAAGATGCATTGCGCGTTGATCACGGCGTGGCAGTCATTTCTGAGTCGCGAAAGTGGTGGCTTGTGTTATGATTTGTTGTCCATGGAACATGGACCAACCGACAACTTTAAAATAGAACTTTTTAGTAATTTTAAAAGGTTTGATTTGAAATGGCGTCGTTTCCTAAACGTGGAAGGCCAAAACGGAAAGTTGAACAACACCGGATTCGTTTACAGATTGAATTATACTACGAGTGGATAATAGAAAAAGAGTTTAATAGACTTGCACAACAAACAGATAGTGAATTTGCTGCTTATTTTCTTCAAATTTTGAATGAAAAGAAAAACGTAGCTATAGTCCTACGTCTATAATTTACAACTACAAAACTAGTAAATCGCCATTAAAAAATAACAACGTTGAATTTTTGAAACTAAAAACATGGCAAAATGACATAAAAGTATTCAGACAACTTCTGTTCGAATCAACTGATTGTTGTCTTTTTCGTTGTTTATATGAAACTATCTTAACCGTCAAGCACACGGTGAAAACAGTAATAAATGCAGAGCTAAGGATTCTTGTTTTTCTTTTTCATTGCAGTGTGATTGCTGTCGAACCTGGTCCCGTTCTCACGCCATTAATGAAAAATCATGGCAAGAATATTGAAAATATATCAATAGACGACGCAACAAAAATACTTCTGAATAAATTTGACGTCAATTTAAGTAAGATTAAAAGTGCGTGCATGATGCCTGATGAGTGTGCTGAGCATATCAAAAAAGCTATTATTGACGAAAACCCACAACCTCATTACATGATTTGCAAAGATTTCGAAGAAATCCTTAAAGCAAAATACTGTGATCTTACTGGTAGAATTTCATTCGAAAATAGCAAGAAGTTGTTAGAATAGTTGACATTTTTATTTACAATTTGCATTGTGGTATATTGATAGATTTTCTTTTTAATTTAATAAAACAGAAACAATTAAGCGATAGTCTTTGGTGGTGTTTTTAATTAAATTTGTTGTTTATTAGAAATGATGGCGTAATTCCACTTGGTGAATGGTAAGTTGTTGTTTTCTCCTGTTTGTAATATACATAAAGTTACTTTATAAACCAGAATGCTCCTACGTTTCAGGTGTAATTGTCAATGCTGTCATACCGATTTGTTAGAAGGCGCATTAGAGTACAGATGCTGTAAGGAAATTGGACCAGCTTTGCAGAAAATGACATTCGATGGCAGCATTGAGAAAATATCATGCATAACACAGCATGCCAAATTTGGGCCTTTAGTTCATGAGGCTGTCCTTGAAAACGTCGGGCCACTATTGAGAGATAGGAATGGACGTGCTTATCGCCGCCAAGCATCACAATCATTAAATATGTAAGATTATAAATTGTATGAGAAACAATGTTATAATCAACATTGTTTCATCAACAATAATTAGTCCAACCTTTTTATTTACTTCAGGTACTTGAGAGCTGTGGCATACAGATGGTTGATGCGATGGTTTTGTGGGTCTATGGGATGGGAGAATACTCGGCCTTTACCTGCTTGTGTTTACCACTTTATTCGGAAAGCATATCCAAGTGGTAACACAACAGGTTACATACCATCAGAGGGCGATGATGGAATAGTCTTCTAACTTGTGCACTGTAGAGACTGTTGACCTTCTTTGCTGAGTTTGGAATGGTCAGGAAATATGCCTAGATGAAAACCAAATAGGAGATACATAGATGCACTATATAAGTTGACATGCAGTTTAATGGTTTGAAACAAGAGTAAACAATAAAAACAAATTGGTGCAACTACTGAGAGGTTAAGCTGAATGAATTAAATGAAAGAATATCTTTTCTTCAATGTCAGTCTGGGAAAAAAGACAAAAGAAAAAATATATTGAATTAAATCATAGCATAAATGTAAAAATGGAAAATAGCAAGCCGTTCAAATGGCGAATCGTTTGCTTCCCCAGTGCATACTTCAACATGCTCAGCTTCATCACTAGTAGATGGTACTTCCTCATTGAGAGAACATGTTTCCTTCAGCGATGGCTTATGGAGAGTATGTCGAATAATCTACAAAACTTATATCGAATTTACGTATGACAAAAGAAAAATTAACATAAACAAGCGTAAACTTACTTGTCTTCGCTTTCGATCGGTTATTTCGTCCTGTAATGGTTCAGGAATCCCAGCCACGTCAATGGTTGGGATAGCATCTTTCTTCATCCTTCTTTTGAGCTTGACTTACACGCTCAAATTAAGGTCAAAACAAGAATCTTCAAAATGCGCAGAACACAGACACGAGGTAGAGGAAGCCTCAAAACCCGGTCTATGTTTACGCACAAAATTTACCCATTTTCTATATCTTTGCGGCTCTGTTTCTTTTTTAGGAAACAGATGCATCGACATTCCTTCGGTTTTTGAATCATTGGCGCAACTAATTTCATTAGGTCCGCCAGCAACACAGCGTTCTCCTCCGCGTTTCTTATTAAGATTACTAGTAGAATACGCCATGTTGATATATGTGTTCAACTTTCTACGTCACAAGTCATTAGCATACCGATCAAAAAGTTCGCAAAAAAAATGCTGAAAATCGTGACTTTGAACGTCCGTAAAATCACTTTCACCAATCCAATTTCAATTATAATTGCAGATTTAAAATCACTGAAACAAGGTCTTTCAATTTAGCTAATAAAAAAGGGGGGGGCTAAAATTCGTGATATAACCACTTTAAGCTCTCTAGTACTTCTCCGAGATAAAACTTCAGCCACAAATAAAACGCACTGAAATATTAGAGATTTGCATAAAAAGTATAAGAATGTTGACAAAGAAATGCCGCTCTGAAAAAAACTTTCCTAAGCATCTGTTTGTTGTTCATACATAGAAATAATGCTTTAATCAACTCATTGAAAATTAAAATAAAGTGAAGTAAATTGACCTCACTAAACATGATTAGTTTAAAGTTTCTACATACGTATAGAGTTTTCAATAAATTGACAAACACACCAGTAGTTGTATAAAAGATTGGTGATGAGGGAGGGGGTATATTCATATAGCGATACATATATCTGCATATTGTATGTCGAAATCTGTAATCGCAATTAATTTTTATATAAGATTACTATTTCGATACCTAACCCTGCTACAGTTGCCACCGGACAAAGAAAATTTTCTGTAGCTAGAAGAGTTAAGACTTGGTTAAGCTATAACCAAAGAGCGAATTAATTGTTTCACCCTCCCTAATATCCACAAATAAGAAACAGGAACATTCTCTAACAGAGGCAGCAAACGAGCTTGTTCGACGCAATAACAATAGAAAGCACGACTTTGGAACACTAATGACAGCAAATGCAAATAAAGAAATGACGACACTTTTGAAAATTTAAAAAAATGCGTTATATTTCCACAATTTGCAGAAATGTTTTTGTAATTTTCTATAAATCTTTGAACAATCTTGCGATAGCGCTAAAACCCGGGGTTCCTAGCAGGTACAAGAAAAAAAAGCTCTGCATTACACTAATATAAAATATTCATTCCACTACTATAACGTAGTAAAAGTTTTCGAAGATGTCCAAATGGTCTTCAGTCCTGTATGTTTGCCACTTTTTGGCTGCATATACAAGGAATAAATCTCCATAGTCGAACTAATTTTTGATTCAATTCGATAGTTTGCTGCTAAGATTAAAGAAATATAACAAACGCAAAAAAATAGGAAAGAATTTTTTTATGAGTTTATTTGCAGCCTGGTTGAGAAAAAATGTGTTTGCAGAAATTCGTATGAGTCGGATTCTTTTAGGCAGTTCTTAGGCCGTTAATAGCATTAGACTATGATATATGATATCATCAATGTAACCTATTATTTGTGTTTGACAAGGAAGAAGAACGTTTTTGATCAATCAGGGATATTTTTACATTTTTTCTCTCGAACAAGTCAAATGTACAACTCAAATGTAATAAAACAATTACAAAAATTCAGAATATTTGAAATATAAAGATTGGGCAAATAGATCTCTGTTTAAACTAGTGCTTTCAAGAGTTTTACCCAACATTATCAAATCAGTTTTCTGAGAACCTTCTCATTTGTACTAGAATTCATTTCATTTTCGTCAAGAAAAATACGTATTATAGCTTTCTTACTTTGCCTATTGTGTATTTATTAATGTTGAGAGAAGCAGAAGACGAAATGTAATTTGTGTAAAAAACTGCAGCCAAACTCCAAAAAATTTTAAGCACAAAGGCAAAGAAGTTGATGCTAGGAAATTACTTCGACAAAAGAATGTTTGAAGTGTTTCTCCAAATACGACTTTTGCAAAATATTTGCCGACTAGGCCGTGCTTTTAATTTTTTATCCATTACATTTTTAAGTGATAATGCCGGACAAAACGAAAGTCACGATAACACTGCATTATCGTCAAAGACATCATTCCATTAATTAAAAAAGGAACAAATCTATTTCAAAATGCTTTAATATGAATGAAGTAAATCCTTAAATGACGTACTTGACAATTGAGTTAGTCAGAATATGCAAAACTAGAAATTAAAGCACTGTCCTAGATAGTGCCCACCTTTTTATTGTATCAGCAATTACTGACACTATTTTATTGACATCATCAAGGACAGGTTTGTGCAAACAACTATGGTCGATTTTAAGGGTAAATGTCGAGAAATTATAAAGTTATACGTCCCAAACATAAAAAATCTTAATAAAGGAGACTTCGCGCTGACAATATTGTAATCTAGCCTACTGCTTAAATGTAGAGCAATATTTTAGAAAGTAATGTACGAAGTGTTTATAAAAAACCACATCACTTTACATTAGTTTGACAGGTAAACCATTGAGTTCTATAATAACCGAAGTGGGTAAGTGGAGTGATGCGATGATGCCAAAAAAATGGCGGTATAAGGACCTATATCTGTTGAAATGATTTGTTTGCAGAAAAAAATATACTTACCTCTAAATGGGTGGCTTGGTAATCAGGTAAAGCTTCATAAGGATTTTGACCTTTCTTCAGCATATTTTTTATTATTTGAACCACTCGCTCTGCGCAGTTTGAAATTTACTTAAAGCCAAAAAATTTCATGAGCAGTTTGAAATTTACTTAAAGCCAAAGTACAATCAGGTGTTTGCAAGACAATGAAGAAACATTTAAAAACTTTGTAACTGATCATAATTAGTTAGCCCGTGATCGTGGATGTCGAGAAGCAGACATAATGGTAAGAGACCGAATAGTTATGGCAAGATTAATTTAGGAAGGGTTCTCGTTGACATTAGAAAAAGCATTCAATATTGATCGCATTATAGAACATTCTGAAGCTCAATTGAAAACAAGTTGAGAAAATTTTGGAAAACCAGTCGATTTCAGTAAAGGACCAACTCTTCAATTTTTTGACAACCTCCGTGATTTAAAGCCGTGGTTAAGATAGCGCTCTAGTTATTGTGGAACTCAATGAGTTAAACGCTCAACTTCAGAGAAGTGGAGGAATGACAGCCAGTGATGACATATAGACCTTTTCAAGGTTATCACAGCCATATTGCAGGGGGTGTGGAAAAACATTGGGCTGAGCGCGCGGTCACGCATGGCATCCATATAAATTACTAATAAATGTTCAAAAATTACCCTTATACATATTGGCCATTTCTTTCAAATATATTTCTCAAACTCATCCATTTTAAAAGTCGAATTATTATTTGCCATTTTTTATACACGTGAGTCCAATTTTGTGTAATCAAAAAGCGGAAAGTTAAAGGAAACATTTGTTTTCTTTGAACAACTTGACCGTCGTTTGAGCGATGTTCTTGAGTTCGCAACACACGCACATGTCTACAGCAAAGTCAGAAAGTATCATGAGGAACTATTCTACGGCAAACTCTTATTAGTATTTCCAATTATTGGTAAGGTGACATTGCTATTTTTATTATTATGTAGGGCGACTAAACAGCCAGAAGAAGAAACAGCCAAGTATTCAAATACACACTTAAAACTGTTAGTCGATGGCAGGCCAGGTGTGAAACCTTACATCATACTCTCTCGTCAACTGTTTGAATTCCAAAGGGACAGAGAGTAAAGATGCCTCAGATTTTGCTGGATTTCCATCAAAACCTGAATCAGAATCCTCAGTGTTATAGGATTGATGAGGACGCTTGATGTCGTCCATGTTTCTCCTCCTTTACGTTTAAGCGGAGTCCTCGATTGCTCGTACTCTGATAGCGTAATAAAAACCGAAGGATAATCCTTTCCGCGGTTATTTGGGGCTCTTCTTCCCAAGGTAAAATAATTTGAGCAAACGAAAGTACCTTGTGCACCAGGCTTTGGGTTAAAGTCATCGGCTCTGCTGTTTGCAATTTGTTTTTGCCAAATTTCAGCAAGTAATTGATCTTTAGGCCACTTATGAAAAACTCACTTTTCTACGTGAGACATCTTAACTTGATAATCAGGATAGGGTTTATCATTATCGCAATATCCAACTGCACAACGCGCATTTGGGCTATGACTGCTCACGGCTACTCGGCTAGTTTAGGGTTTAGTTCGTTTGACTTGGCTTATGAGTTCCGCACATTTGCGAAGTCAAGCACAACGCTCATACGACGGTCAAGTTGTTCAAAGAAAACAAATGTTTTCTTTAACTTTCCTCTTTTTGATTACCACAAAATTGACTCACGTGTATAAAAAATCGCAAATAATAATTTGACTATTAAAATGGACGAGTTTGGGAAATATTTTTCAAAGAAATGGCCAATATGTATAAGGGAATTTTTTGCGCATTTATTAGTAATTTATATGGACGCTATGCGTGACCGCGCGCTCGGCCCAATGTTTTTGAACCCCCTGCAATATGGCTGCGATAACCTTGAAAAGGTCTATTCAAATTTACTTAATTAAAACAAACAGATTGATTGGTTAAAATAACCATAAAAATATTGGTTAAAGGGGTTAAATGCATCTGAGGTAACCAATTTTTATGGTTATTTTAACCAACCAATTTTTACAGTGTATAAAGACTTTGAAAAAATACAGTGCATAAAACCGTGAAACACTTTTTCTTATATTGTAAAATACGTTTAGTTATATATGGCAATTTTCAAAGTTCTTTTTCCTACTCTTTTAATTCACCAAAGTTTTTAAAGTTTACGATTATGTTTCATCAGAAGGATTACAAACTACGATAATACCACAAAACAAAGTATATACTGAAATGCAGGCAGCACCACAGTACCTATAAACTCGCCAACTACAGTCGAAAGCGACGGTTATATATTAATCTGAAAAAAAGCGTATGCGTATTTATCCCTGCGTATTTATCCCAAGGGTTTCAAAGGTTGACACAGCCAGGAGTGGCTCCGGGGATAAGCTCCCGGTGTTTACAAAATGCTCCTTACGGCGTGCGTCTCAAACAGCCTCTGTCAACCAAGTCCAACTCCTGGGCTGCTCGTGTGGCTTTACTTCTAAGCCCGGCGGAACTGCTTTTACCGACAGGAGAAGGAGCGAAGGCGGGTCTCTGGCGCCTTAAAACCAGATGCTTCGGGCAGGTGGTGGCTCGTTAACCCAGGAAGGTAGCCCACCTAGGGGAAGGAAAACCCTGACTCCAAACCTCCGCTGCCTTGCGGTGTACTCGGTCACGGGAAAGGCTAGGAGACGGATACTCCGAAGAAGAAAGCTGCACCTGCTGGGGCCGCTCTACACGTGGCAGCTTCTGCACCTGTGGAGCATTGAGCGTCAGTAGGCGAGAGGGTGGAGATGGGCATGCACATCCCCTCTTCACCTAAAACATTCACCTGTGCTGGTCAGGCAAGCAGGTTTGCCGGAATCAAGTGATGCAACCATCCCTTTTTTGCGCCAGCTATCTAAAGTCCTGTAACGATGGAAAAATGGTGACGGGAACAGGCAGAGGATGCTGCTGGAAGTTCTTAGCCATGACTCTGCACGCAGGCGGCTGCGAATTGATGGTCGTCCGCCGTAAACCTAGGGCAGATACGGCGCCCGTATCCTCTCACAGTGACAGAGCAGCCCTCCTTACTGCTCTCCCCACCTGCCCTACTTGCACCTGGCAGGAACCGCACCTCCCTGGGCATCCAACTAAGCGGTCGTACAACTAAGGATAACAAAACAAGAAAGCGCTTAACCATTGGGGCATGGAACGTGAGAACGCTGTAGGACAGAGGAGACAGACCAGAGCGACGCACTGCTCTTATAGCAAGGTTGCTTGGACAATACCAGGTAGACATAGCCGCATTGAGTGAGACCAGACTTGCAGATGAAGCTCAACTGGAAGAGGTCGGTGGTGGCTACACCTTCTACTGCATTGGGAAACCGGAAAACGCCCCAAGACATTCAGGCGTGGGATTTGCCATACGCACTCAGCTCGCAAGGCGACTAGTCAGCTTGCCACAGGGCTTCAGCGATCGCCTCATGACCCTGCGGCTGAAACTCCAGAAAGACTGCAACGCAACAATTGTCAGCGCCTACGCCCCTACAATGACAAACCCAGATGAAGTGAAGGAAGCCTTCTACGAAGAGCTCAACCAGCTACTCTCCAGTGTTGACCGCAGAGACAAACTCATCATCCTTGGAGACTTTAACGCACGAGTTGAAGTAGATTACACCATATGGCCAAACATCCTGGGTCGCCATGGAACTGGCAAGTGCAACTACAAAGGCCTGATGCTACTATCTCTGTGCGCACAGCACGAGCTAACCATTACTAACACTCTCTTTCAACAAGCTGACAAGCTGAAGAACATATGGATGCACCCTCGCTCCAAACAGTGGCACATGCTGGACTACGTAATCGTCCGCCAGAGGGACCGCAGAGACGTGCACATCACACGCTGCATGCTTCGTGCCGACTGTTGGTCTGATCACCGCCTGCTACGGAGCAAGATGAACATCCAGCTCGCCTGAAAGAACAAATCAGCAAGAGAGAAGCCACTGAGGAAGTTGAATGTAGCTCGCATTCCACCCAACAAAGAAGAGCTGCAAGAGAAGCTAGAGGTAGCCCTGGGAAACATTAACATCACGGGCGAGGATATAGAGGAAGACTGGAGCACTTTCAAAGAAGCCGTCTACAACTCTGCAGCGAGTGTCCCTGGATACTTTGAGCGAAAACATTGAGACTGGTTTGACGAGAATGACGCTGAGATCAACGGGCTTATTGACAGGCTCCATAAGGCTCACAGCGACCTTATAGGGGACAAAGCTTGCGAGAAGAAGAAGCAAGACTACCAGCAAGTGAGGCAGCATGTGCAACACAAGCTGCACGAAATGAAGAACGCCTGGTGGGAAAAGAAAGCCGAAGAAATCCAAGTGGCAGCTGATGCTCACGACTCAAAAAAGCTCCACGATGGGCTTCGCGCGGTGTACAGTCCAAATTCGTCAGGCTTTACCCCCATCAGGTCTGCAGACCGA